AGGACTCATCCAGAATGGTACACAGTCCCTGAAGTTCTCTTGTTTTGAACTAAAAATTAAATAAATGTCAGTAGAATATTGTGCAAATCTTGTAAACACTGTATTTCCTTTAATTATTACATCCAAGATGGGCAAGTACAGAATATTTCTATTTTAAAATAATCCTAAGGAATGTTTACTTATCCGTCACAGAGGGTCAAATTTAGCCGGTTCATACAGCTGAGCTCTGAGGTGATCAGGGCAAAAAATTGAACAGTTCTTTCATGGGGATTAACAGAAACTGTTCCATGAGCTTAGTGTCTCTTTCCTGGAGGGCAGGAGGCAGCGGTGCTTTGGTTGAAGATGTAACCTTGCCTTTTTCTGCTTCCAAAAACCTTCCCTCAAATTTATGGAGCTGGGCCTCCATCTTACACACTACCACTTCGCTGCTTCAATTTTTTAGTTTTCTTTCCATGAATGTGAGGGGCATAATTTCCACCTAGTCATAACAATAAGACCTGTTTTTATAAAACAGCTAGATTTTCTTGACTGTGCTAAACAACCATAACAATATCTTGCAGCCTCCCACCTTGACTGTCCTGTCCCATCCTGTTCCTCCCCCCCACTTGCAAGGAAGAGAATTTTAAAAATCTTTTCAGAAATGGCTAACAGCATGAGGAGATCCAGACCAAATGTATGAAGTGAGATGTTTGAATCGTAGTCATCTTTGTATGCAAACTTTATCTGGTTGTCTGAAGACTGGCTAAGCATAAAAAAAAAAAAAAAAAAGCTCAACAATTAGTCCTGTATGTGGCTGTGCAAAGGCATAAATTAAACCTCATTTGCATACTTCTGTACAACTGGTTTTGAGTTTCAGCAAGTTCCCCTGCTCCCCCTTGTTAATGGCCCTACATGGTTAAAGTCAGTGGTTGAAAAAATACGTAGTACTTGCCCTGTTTGCTCTTTGCTTCTCTTTGCAGTGAGAGGAGTTTGACTGAACAGCTTAAATGGTGTAAGTAATTTCCAGAACATCACTATTATATTTTTTTTTAGGGCTTTAAGAGAGCATATTGTTTGTCAAAAGTCCTGGAAGGGTGGTGGTTGTGTGTCTGGGTACTGTCACTACCAACTGATGTAGGCCTAATGGATTTTCTGAGAAGACTCGAATGGGAGAAAATTCATGTTACGGGAAAAGACCTCTGAAAACAAATATTAGATGACGTTTTGGTCTGTATTGTCGTCTTCATTTCCATAGTTGTTTGAAACCGGGCTACAGATACTTGAAAAAAGTCTGCCTGCAATCAGCTCAACAACAAAACTGGTTAGGGAGGTTGTACGTTCTTGCCTGTCTGTGTGGTCGTCTGGTTTTCCCGGAGGCTGTCTAGGTGCTTGCCACTATTCTGGAATAGCCTGCCAGGCTTTGCCGCTCCTGGCAGAGACATTTTTAAAGAGACCGTGTTTCCACAGTTAGAACTATTGCTAAATAGGACCCCGACAGGTCCTTCTTTGAAAATGGATGGAACTTGTGGTTGCTGCTGTTTATTTCTGAGCAGCACCATTTGTAAAGTTGGACCAATAGCATAATGAAAAATTAAAGCATTCTAAAATAAAAATGTCTGGGACAAGTAGAACAAGTCATGAAACATGAGATCACTAAAGACCTAGGAACAATTAGGTATGTGTTCACTTATGACTTCTAGGTTGAATATGTCTATGGAAGCACTTTGTTCATACAAGTATTAAAATGCATATAAAACCAGCATTTATTTATGGGGTTGGTACTGTTAATGTCCCCGACTCCACATTTGGAAGTCTTAAAAATGTAAGATGACTTTTAGTTTTGGTGTGCAATCCTACTATAGTTATTCTTGACAGTGTTTTTCCAGATACTCAAATTTCAGCTCCTAATTCTGAAATAACCTAAGTTAATTTTTTGTCTATGCATTCAGTAAAGATGTAAATAATCAGTATTTTAAGTAGCTTGAGCAGATGGCTCTGCTTGGAAGCTTTTGGGCCTCTCTTTTTTGTTTTGTTTTGTTTTTTTTTACTGCAGAAGCCTGTCCCCATGAAAATAAGGTTGTTTACAGGTATAGTCATTTAACGTGACTGCATTGTTAAAGGATTTAATTGCATGATAAATTTTCCAGGGTAACCTGGTGGCTTACTTCACTATAACAGCAGGCTCTTTATCTGAGACCTGTTTACAGTTCTCATGGTTAAAGAACAGTAACTTGGGACAGGTGGGAACGTAAAACTGCTTTGATAGAATCTTTTGTGCTTGGACAACTGTAATCCTTGGTGGGTTTGTGTAGTGAGAAGTTTTATCTTGAAAGCTGGTTTTGAAAGCTGTATTGGTAATGGAGCTGCAAGTTCCATAAAACTGGACTGCTGAAGTTGTTTCTAGTTTGTAATATGAGTATTTTGTTTTGGTTTTTAGTAATTGCAGTGCTTTTAAACAATATTACAAGTGACTGGAAAGAATAACTATTAAATGTAAATGTTTTAGGTGAGAATACACATACAGAACACAAACTTTTTTTTATAAATTCTCAAGTTCTTGAACCTACCAGAGGCAAAAACTCCCTTGTTTTTTCTCCCCTCCTCAAGTAATGCAGTTTTGGAAGTTCATTTTTTGGTCTCTCTTCCCCCCCAAGCCCCCACTTCTCTCTCAAAAATCTAGTTCCTTTCACATACATATTCGTCTCACTGCACCCACTACATGTCTTAGAAAATTGTCTTGTAGTATAGGTTGATCATAACTGGTCAGCACAATCTGAAATTAATTGACATACCAGTTAATAATACTGAAACAGGTCTATGGGCTGCCTTCCTAGGGTATGTGCAAAGAAGGGGATGATTGTGAGCTTCAGTATAAGATTTTGTTTTTTTGGAAGGTGTTTCTCAACAAGGGAGTGACCTTTTACGAGTTAGGCAGTTGGTTTGAATGCCAAGCGTCCTTTATAGTGGCACATATTTCTGTCAGAATAGGATTAAAAATATCTGGTGTACTGTTCTAATGGAACCTACATGGCATTGTTTAATGAGCGAAAAAACAATGAGCAACCACCCAATGAGCCGAAATGTTTGTTCATCTTCAAATATATAACACTGTGCTGCAGCACAAATAACAGTGTGGTTAAATGTGCTAGGTTCAACTTTCATTTCAGACTGAAAGAAATACTTGATTCAGTTATATATAATCCTCTTGAGTGTAGTGCACTTAAAAGGAACTTTAATGACTACTGTATTGACTAGAGGAATGCATAATACTTTATTTAAAAGACAATATGTTTTTATTTTCCTTTTATATTTTTAAGAGTGAACTGAAAAAGGAATACATTAACTACAAAAAAGGGTGCCTGAAATCTGTTGTTTCCATGTAATATAACGATGCAGCACTATAAGCAGATTTTTTTTTTATTTGTTTTTAGAAGGGTCAGCAACTCTTAAGTATTTTTTCCCATCACTCCCTTTATCCTACTGACTCACTTCAGCTCTCTGTGCACATTTAAGGAATAATCTCCTCACCTGAATAATTACAGACAGCTGTTTTCAGTCACTGAACCTTGGTAGATGAATATTTTTAATTTTTTTATTGTCATCATTTTTGTATATGCTGTACTCTTCATGTATTGAGTTCCTACGTTATAAACCCTGGTTGATTTTTAGCTACTTGTTTTAATAAATAATATATGGAAAGTTAAGTAGTTTTTTGTGTTGAGGAATTATTAAATCCACTACAACTGAACATTACATTCTTGGTCAGTGATGATTTTTTTTCCTTTTGTGCCACACACTGTGCATATAATAAGCTGAATGCTACTTTTGAGTTTGTCCTGCCCCTCCCCACCTGATCTAAATTAAAACTGATCTCTGAAATTTAAGAGACTGTTTCCCCCCCTTTATTCTGCACCTGAGAACGTTTTGCTTGTTTCATTTTTATTGGTTACATTTGAATCTTATATATTACATACTTTTTTTTTGATACATCTCCCTTACCTTTTCTCAGGACCACTTATCTTCTTTGCAAGAAATGCTTCCTGTATCTATCCAGAGAGCGGCAGTATCACAATACTGTTATTTTTATTAAATTGTTATCACTAAAAATTGAGAAAGCCCAAGAAAAAAAATTGTGCGAAACCAGGTAAAGAATGTAATACCGATATATTGATGAGGGAAAAAACCCAAGCAAACAGGAATTGAGTTCTGTAGGTTTTAATCTAGTAAATTATCTTTGCTTTTTTGCTTTTTTACAATAAGTTGATGTTTCTTCTTTGACTTTTCAGGCACGGGTACCTTTGGGCGTGTTCATCTGGTGAAGGAAAAAATGGCCAAACGTTACTTTGCACTGAAAGTCATGAGCATTCCTGATGTCATTCGACTGAAGCAAGAGCAACATGTGCACAATGAGAAGTCAGTCTTGAAAGAGGTCAACCATCCCTTTTTGATCAGATTGTAAGTTGTTGTATTTTTTTAAATTCGTTTAACTCGTATGTAAAGTGCAGTTAAAGTGTTCCAGAGTCTCATTGCAAGTTCCTATGTACTTAGTCAGTACCAAGCATTTAATTTCTATTATGTACTCTAGACTAAAATAGAATTCAGACTAAAATATTTATAACAGAAGAATCAAGAATTTAAAATCAAGAGGCATAATTTAAACATTTAAGCAATAATTTATTACAAGCTCACTCTGTCTCTTATTTTCATACTGCAGAAGAGAAATTTTCTGAAGTGAGGGGAAAATACTGATGAAGAAATGTTAGGATTGGCTCATCAAAATTAATTCTAGAATGATTCTTGATGTTAGAGTGGTGAGAAAGGAAGTATTTCTACATATGTATTTCCTGTAGATATCTAGATAAAGATATGACTAGATTTAAGTATCTGCTTTTTGGAAACTTTTGTGAACTTCACTTCTACAAACTATTTTTAAAGAGTTTAAATGACTGAAGCACTTCTTGGGCTTTGTTATTCCTATATTTGAGGTTAAGTGATGGAACCTGTGGAGAAACATGATTTAAACACAGTTCATGAAAAATAATTTTTTTAGTGGAATTGTGATGATTCTAATGATCCTTTTATTAAGGAGAGAAAGTGTCATACTTTTCTGTTCCACACAGCGCATTTTGTGTATCTGAGTCCTTATTTATTAATGGGATAACTAAACCTCTGGGTAATTGCACAGTTAATTTCCATTTATATTTTCTCATGCATGGATACAGGGCCATTGACCAAGATTTGTTTTGCATTTACCTGTCTTAATCAGTTTTACATAAAATTAGACAAAATTAGCCTTAGTTAATCTCTAGCTGTAGGGAGTGCAGCCCCCTCTTAGGGCTAAGAAAGTATCAGAGGGAAAAGAGAGGCAAAAGCATGGTAGTCATCTGAAAGTTGGAAAGAGCCCTGCAGGAGGAGGCTTTTTCCCTGGTGTGCTGTTGCTTTTTGCAGCATCATGACGCTATTAGTTTCCAGCCAGCGTTCAGATATCCTGTGTGTGGCCTAGTATCAGTAAGATGAGTTCTAGGGTACGTGGAGTTTGAGTTGCATGCGGGAAAGGAAGATGGAGAGGCTGAGTATGTCTGGTTAGACTGGTTAAAATATGGGTGGAACAGGGGGAACAGGGTTTTATATGTGTATCTATGTATATACATAAATTCTTTTAAAAAAAACCACAAAAACCAAACCAACATATCAAAACCAGCCAACCAACTAAACACAAAAAAACCCCAGTACATCTGTGCTTCTAGAACAGCGCAGCAAGTGTGGGAATAGAGAAACTTGGGTGAGAAGTCAGAGGCGGGGATGTGAGGGTTCACATCCGTACAGAAGTGATCAAAAATCCAAACTGATAACTTTTCTTGGATTTCGTTCATGCCTTATTTCCAAAATGTCGGATTTTAAAGTTGCCAAAGGAAGGACACAATTCAAATGGAAGTTCACTTGTGTGCAAGGCAAACATTCTTCATGGCTTCTAGCTCTCCGCCTTTTCTGTTGACATGTTCAATGAGATACTGCATCAGCTATGCTTGTGTAATTGTGCGTGTGCTGCCTTTGTCCCTTGGCAAAGGAGACTCAAAGCAACCTAGCTGAAATGAGGTAGTTAAATTTTAAGTCATGTTAATATTTGTGTGCTTTAGGTTAAACAAGCATTCATGTACAGTTATCACTGACTGTATGACAAATAAAACTTTCTGCAGCTTTTTGTGTGGCTGACAGCTTTTTTTCAGCTGCCTCCTCCCCTGCCTAATACATGTTTTTCTCCATGAATTCTTTGACTATAACTGATCAGCAAAAAGGGGAAAAATTTTCTGTATAGTTCTGCTTCAATGCCTTTGAACCGTGTTATCTACGTGGTCTGTTTTTTATATTTTCAATTAGCATTACCACCTTAAACATGGATAATATCTTCCTCTGGTTGCAAAACAAGGAATATGTGCCAGTGCAGCATAATACGGTATTTTTTTAGCACTTTATGATGGAGAATTTAAAAGTAATGCTGCATGTAATTTATTTCTGGTGTTCATCCTTCCTATATATTCCTGTATATAAAGACTTTATGTAAGATTTTTTTCCTTTTCCTGTTACTTTTGAGAAATGCTCTTCCTGTGTGTAGGGAGGTCCTGAATCAATTTTTCTGTAGATACTGAAGTTATTTACTTATTTTTTTAAATTGTTTTTTGGAAATGCTTGTTTGGTGCTCTTGCAACAACTGGTCACTGGAGACTCCTAGGCAATCTTTAGTGACATGTTTGAGTGATGTATCATAACACCGTGCGTGCAGCAGTTCATATTGTGATATGTTTGACATGTATCTTTGATTTTTTTCAAGAGAACAAGAATTAATAAAAATCAACCATGTCTTACAGTCTTATAAGCTAAAATAGGTTATTTGTCACAATGGCATCCGAAGTTTATGTAATGAAGCTGAATTTTAAAATTACCTGACACCATGCATCCTATTCTAATCACAGCTTCTGTGATATTTTCCTTTTGTGTATTAAAATACCATTTAAAGCAATTTGAACTGCAGATATTAAAGTTCTTTATTTTGCTATTTTTCATGTATACCAAATAATTTATCCATTTTTCTGTGGACAGACAATCCTTTAAGAGTCAGTTCTTGAAGAAATTCATTCCAGTAAAAATACTGTGTTTTAATGGTCTAGGTCTTCCATTTTTTTTCTCTGTATTCTATGCCAGATTTTGTTCTTCCTCTCCCCTGTAAGTGGTTTTTTAAATATGTGGTTTGCTTCATTTTGCCCATTCCTGTTCCTCTTTGTTTATTGCAGGTGCAACTTTGCCTAACTCCTTAAAATACATCTCGAGTGTTTTTACATAGTCAATAAAGATACTATGAACATCATCAATAGCCAATTAATGATGTTGATGACTTTGTGATAGGGAAGTAGTGCCATAAAAGCAAAAGGCAAACCTGGGCTTTGCTTTCTTCATCACTTTGAAGGAATGGAGGAGCTGTTGCTGATGTCTGATAATCTGTCTCATTTTCTTGGTTGCCCTTAGTGCCGGTATCAAGAAAGAAAATCCTACTGAGCAAAAGTCACTCGTGGGTTTGGGATCTCAGTTTGCTTTGCTTATCTTTCTTGAGACTCTATGCCTTGATTAGGAATCAGGTAATGAAGGGGGGGGGCGGGAAGATATTTGATCTTTCATTCTTGTGATACTGCAGAAGCACTTACTAGAAGCCAAAGTAACTTCTATTCTTGTATCATTAAAGTAGCAGGGATACAGTGTTCTTTATCTGTTATCATCGTAATAGGGATAGCTGTTTGTTTTAAAATGGTAGAATATTCTTCAAGACGTTGCCAGATACTTATTTGCTTCTTGACTGTTGAGTTAGGTTTGGGTGTGTGGTATATGAGCTGTTTAATGTGGATAGAAAGAAAAACAGCTTAGTTTTGGGGGATGTGGAAGAGAAGATTCCTGTATTCTGTAATGAAGCATTTGAAAGCCACATGGAATGATTTTCTTTCTTCCTTAGCTGCTTTTTACTGCACTCAAGTAATGAATGTACCACAATTATAGTTCTTAAATTAAAGGCAGCAGTCTGAGGACTGGAAGGTACTTATCATTAGGTTAATTCTGAAGTACAGAAATTAATCTTGTTTTGCTGTCACTTTTGCTTTGCTATTGCTTTTGTTAAAGATATCGTAGAAGAGCAAGCATTGTGATCTGATGCTTATCTAGTAACTGGTCACTTTAGTTGGGGTTGTATATTCTGGGGAGGAAGGGATAGGAGAGGGGAAGGAGAACTCTCTGGTGTTCTGGTTTTGAACATATTGTCATAAACATCTTTACAAAAGCAGGTTCTGCTCACCTGGTTAAATAAAATGTAAGGTGTGTAACAAATAAAATTGGTGTGTAACCAATAAAATTGGTTAAATAAAATGTAAGGTGTGTAACAATTGTCTGGTCTTAGCAGACTGGCAGTATACTAAGTCAGTTTTTAGGTGCTTAGCAGAGACCTATTTTGTAGAATGCAACAGAGTAAATCAGATTTTCTTTCTTAGCATGTGCTGTGCGCATCCTGTGAACTATCTGTTTTACTTTACAGGTCAAGTCAGCTACTTGAACATCTGTTATATAATCCTGCTAGATTCTTGGTGTTTTAATATTTGCAGAATAGGAACCATAAATTAATTATGTACATAGTTGGGGCAACAGAGATAATTTATAGAAATTTACATCTAAAGCAAATCAGAGAGATAATTTGTTTATTCAATAAAATAATATTTTTATTACAGATTTTGGACCAACCATGATGAACGTTTTTTATACATGTTAATGGAATATGTGCCAGGAGGAGAACTTTTTAGTTACCTGCGCAACATGGGGCGTTTCAACAACAGCACAGGACTGTTTTACTCAACAGAAATTATTTGTGCAATAGAATACCTGCACTCCAAAGAAATAGTTTACAGAGACTTAAAACCTGAAAATATATTACTAGACAAAGAAGGACATATCAAGCTTACTGATTTTGGATTTGCTAAAAAGCTTGTGGATAGGTAAGTGGGATTTTGTTATGGTTTAACATGCAAAATGTAATTACAGTTGGAAGAAAAAAAGTTTGATTTCAGAGCTCAGGATTTCACCTAACATTCTGTGTGGTTCACACATGTCAAATCCCTTCATATGAAGGAAATGATCGTCTTAAAATGGCTGTATGGAAACCAATATTACACCTTAGGTATAACTAGGAGCAATATCACAGATAAGCTACCACAGAAAAATATTTTATACGAGTAGGTTTGTGTATTTAAGTTGTCAGAAGTCATCTTGTAAAAAGGGAGTTCTATGAAGTAAAATGAGCGAATACTGAGATGTGTACATCAATACGTTAAATGGGACATTAATCTTCCATACAAGTTGAATTGCTAAATGTTTTGTAACTGTTGTTTCCTTCTGCTTTCTCTTAGAGAATCTCTCTTCCTTTTAGAGAGATTTTTTTAAATGTGGGAATAACATTTTAAAACTGGATATTGTGTTTTCAGTAGCCTGTTGCTAAAATTAAATGGAAAAATCTAGACAGAAACAATAAGGCCAGCTTTAGCAGAAGTATGTATTTAACTGTAACTTCTACAATGCTGTCAGCCTTATGTCTGTTTTACTAGCGTATGTAAACTTTTTGATAATGCAGAGGTTTTTTTTCCCAGGGATTTCTCTGTTCTCTCTGTTTGAACTACCCTTCCAAGATTATAATGCATATTCTTAAAAGGAAGGAAGAGCCGTCACTGGGATTGAAAATAAGGGAGGAAAAAACCTAGCCTGTCATATTAGAAAAGCGGTATTACAACATTTGATATTATGCCCTAGGGCGACCTCTTGAGGGAGACCATATCTGATTGTTCTAGTTGAGGCAGCCTAGTAAGCGAGTTAGGTGTTACATAGGTGCTGATCCTCTTCACTCATCTGTTTTACCTGTTTGATGCTGCTTTTGCAACAGTTCAGGGGGCGGGGGCAGAATTCTACAAGATCAATTTGAAATGAAGGTGGATCTGAGGGATCTACTCTTAGTGGATCCCTTATGAAGTAAAAGTCAGATGGGACAGATCAAGTCGTGTTACGGAGGTCATAAAGGTTGCTTCCCTATGGGTTACATGCTCTCAGTGCTGGGTTGCCTTGGCGCAGAAGAATGGTAGGCAACTAATAAGTATGCTCGTTCTAGTCACCCTCAAGGTCTGAAAGTCTGTTTTAAAACCATAGTGGTTTAATATCGCTATGTTTTGACTGAATTCCGTTTCCACTGGGCAAGCAGATAGGTCTACAAATGTTGGCTTTTTTTTTTTATATTTCGTTTTTAAACCAAAGTAACTTTTTGCAGGAAGAGGTAAGGCTACTTCCATGTAAAAAAAGTAGGACAATCTCTTTTATAAGAGATTTTCATACAAATTCTTACGACTCCCTTTTTACATGTAGATACTGCCACTTAGTGGTTACTCTTAATTTGGGTTTCTGTGGGTTTCAGGCACGACAGAAGTAACCCTTCATTAAATAAGGTGATAGTTCACATCAAAGTATATTTTTCAATCTGGAAGATGAATCTATAAGAGTAAATTTGTTCAAATACATTGTACGACATCAAAACAAGTTATCACTACTTTTTTTTAGGGGTTTGGTTTTTTTTTTGCATCCTCTCTTGCTGGGGGTGGGGAGAGGTACGGGGGGGCGTGAAGTTGATCAATTTGTGTTGAACTGAATCATAGAATATTACAGTAGTTTTATATTAGTAGCTGCTATACCTATAAATGTACAACAAGTAATATAAAATGCAGAACACGAAGTTGGAAGGAGCGAGGACTTTATCAGTTAGACTTGCATAGGTAACTACTGTGCTCTGCTTCCGCCCCCACCCGTTCCCCCCCGCCTATATAGTATTCACCCTACTAGCTGTAGTCATTTTCACAACACTGTTTTTGTCACTGTAAAAATACAGTTGTCAGCAATTTATCTACTAATGCACTCCAGTAGGTTATTTTGTCTCATAGACTATTTGATCTAACATCTAGGAGATGTGTTGTCATTTTTATGCATGGCAAACATCTATACACATGAACCTTACATGTATGTATGTGTATATTTGTATACATGTATACATATATATCTAGTGCATATGAATTGTGAAAATAAAACACAAAGTATATATGTTTTTTAAACAGCTGTGAGGAAGCATGCCACTTAGGACCAACAAATGTTTTCCTAGAGAAACGTGACATGTAAAATAAAACACGGTCTGCAGAAGACCTTCAATACAAGTACACATTTCTTGATACGTATTATTTCCTATGAATGATTCTGTAGTTGCTTAATTGAGATTTTTCTGTAAGCATTTTCCTTTCTTCCCACTATCATGTGTGAAAGGGTGAAGTGTTCACCATGTCCATCTACAATTAAGCTGCTCTTTAGGGAGAGTGGCTGGCTCGTAGCTCACATCCCCGCTGTGGGAAGCAGCCTGCACATTTACCTTCTTACTAGTAAATTTTCTGAAGGGCTACTCTAGTATGTTTTTCTAGAGAAAGATGAAAGGGAGGAATTTTTCTTGTCTCCTTCTGTTCCTTATTGTTATGTCCTTCTGTTTATCCTTGCTCTTCCCTTTTCGGTCATAGTGTACTTTTAAAAATTCTACATTTTTTTCTGAAACAGTGTGTCTCTGCCTCAGCTGCTGTTTATTTCTTCTCTTTTCCACCTTGGTGTTCCTTAACTGAAGACTTAATAACCTCTTCAGTTTCTTGTAAGTACATTCACATAAAATAGATGTGCCACTACTTTAAAAAAAGGGGCAGTGTCAAGAAAAAAGGAGGGGCAGGGGGACTGGAATAAATGATTGTTACCTGAAGGATGTAGAAAGGATTTGCTTTGAATTTTATAGCCATTACATTTTTAAACCTTTCTTTTTCTGGGAAGCATATACCACTTTTCAGGTATAATATATCCATTAAACATGTTTCTGATCTTTCCTACTGTTTTTCTTTTTGGCTGTTGTTTTTGGGGTTTATTTTTCCCCTCTTGTATTCTTTCAGAGAAACTGAAACAGAAGTCCATAGAACTTTGTATTTTTTATGCGCAGATTTCATTCAATTTCATGGAAGTTTTAAGTAAACTTATGATTTGGGGGGAGGGGGAATGTTATTCACTGTTAATTTTAGTTTGCTCAGTTTAAATTCCTAAAAAAAACCAAAACCCAAACCAAAAAAAAAACCCAAAAACCCTTAAAGATTTTGGGGCTACTTCTGCACTGTTGCTTAAACTGGATGTCTCTTATGACTATTCTGCAGAGTGGACTTGAAGAGAAGGAAAAAAAACCAAGACATAGAAAACCTTGTTTGTAAAGTGTATTGTGTGTCACTGTAGAAGCAAGAATGTCTTGCAGAACAAACTTTTGTGGGCTGGAAACAAAGTAATCTCCATTGAGTATAATTGTGGAGAAACTTCCAGAAGAGAACACCAAAAAGGACATTGTTGTTAATCTCTGGCTTGTATGCAAGAAGCTTGTCAGGGACTACAGAGGTGGATACTGAATAGTGTAGAATGCTAAAATATGCTAACCATCAAGACTTAACTTCTTCAAATAATACTGTTAATAAATCCCACAAATACTATTTTATAGCTTATCTTTGTGACCAGAGTAGGTTTTGTTTCATTTTCATGTTTTTAAATTACATGTTCAACCTTATCAATTATTGCTTACCTGTGTTTCAGCTTTTATCTTGAAAACCCAGAGCAGTGGAATTTTTGTAGCAGTTTGAAGGAAACAGTCTATTCTTATTTTTCTGCTTTGTAATTTATCTTCAAAAGGATAATCTGGAGTTTCAGATGAATATGCAACAGTCATGAAATAGCAATGATAAAAAAAATACTTAAGACAATTTGATCTTTTTATAGAATTTACTTGATGCATTTTCCAAAATATTAAATAGTTTGTTTCATGACCAACAAAAGAGGAAATACAAAGCATGATTGTATGGCACAAATACACAGCTTGACAAAGAATTTGAGCTTCCTCCAAGTTTTTATGTAGTTAGTAAGCATAAATTTCTTGATTGAAATTAAGAGAAGTAAATGACCTGCTGGTGTTAATAAATTTTATTTTCTAGTGCAACTAGGGGACTTCAAGTTATGTTGGCCTTTCCTTAATTTGTGGTTTTCCTTTTGCTTGAATAAAAAAAATCTTGTTATTAACCTGTAAGGTAATTGAGGGTCGTTTTAGTTAAATTGTGTCCTGGTTTCAGCTGGGAGAGAGTTAGTTTTCTTCTTAGTAGCTGGTACGGTGCTGTGTTTTGGATTTAGCATGAGAATAATGTTGATAACACACTGATGTCTCAGTTGTTGCTAAGCAGTGCTTATACTAAGTCAAGGACTTCTCAGCTTCTCATACTCTGCAAGCGAGGAGGTGCACAAGAGCTGGGAGGGGGCACAGCCAGGACAGCTGACCCAAACTGGCCGAAGGGATATTCCATACATTATGACGTCATGCTTAGTATATAAGCTGGGGGGAGTTGGCCGTGGGGCGGCAATTGCTGCTTGGGAACTGGCTGGGCATCAGGCAGTGGGTGGTGAGCGGTTGCATCACCTCATGTTTGTTTTTCCCCCTGGGTTCCCCCCCCACCCCTTGCTTTACTTTTCATTACAATTTTATTATTATTTATTATTATTTTATTTCAAGTATTAAACTGTTCTTGATTCTCTCCCCCATCCCACCGGGAGGGTGAGTGAGCAGCTGGGTGGTGCCTAGTTGCCAACTGCGGCTAAACCATGTCACATTATCACGCAAATTATGTGGGTCCTGGAAGTCATGGTCAAGTGTTAAATTGATTTTTTTGGTATCCTAAATGACCTCAATAAGGGATGAAATCCCTGCATCTTTGCTGAATTTGTGCATTCATAGTGTTGGCAACTTGGGGGGAGGAAAGCATGACGGTTGTGCAGCATTGTCCTGCAAACTGGCTTGTCCATTAAAATGAATGTGCCTGCCCTGTCTGCTTTATTTGTGCAGCCCTTCTTTCCAAATATACTAAAACTGGTAGCTGCTTCGTTTGCAGAACTGGCTAAATCAGTATGAATAAAAATTCATACGATGGATTGTAATACAGCTTTTTAATTTTGGGGGAGGGGAGTCTATTTTGTTTTAAAAGACAACAAAGCTTTGTTGTTTTTCTTAATTACCTAGTCCTGATCTAGGCAACTGCTAGATGGCAGTAGTGTGTAAAGCAGTGCTGTAGGTAAGAATTTTCTTGAGTATGCTTGATTTGGAAAATGAGAGTTTGTATTTTCTAGCAAATAAAAATTATGCCATCCTTTTATGATGAAGATGTATTCTTTACACTAATGAACGTAGTTTCAAGAACCATGGAGCACTTGGGTGTGTAGTATGTCTAATGCATTCTCATAGTTTAGCTGGAGTAATTTAGCTTTTGTCATATAAAATCAGGCCTAAAGAAATTAAATTCCGTGTATCATAAATCTTCATTTAAAGTCTTGACTGTCTCTACAGCTCCTCTTCCTTGGTCTTAAGTATTTTTATGAATCAAGTCTAAGGCTAAAAAAACCCAACCAAACAAAAGGCAAAAAAAAAGAAAAAAAAACACCCAAAAGCTCTGTTTAAAATAATTCTGGAATCTCAGAAAAGTGTATTATTTAATCTTTAAAAAGAAATAAAATAAAAGTACGTACCATAGGTACATCTTGAATATCCATTTATGGTTAGGAAAAAGAAGGTTTAAGTTTAGCAGAACAGTAGTAGGAAAAACTAGAAGTTAAAAGAGGTGTGTATTGCTTCTAAAAGTGATTGCTGTTCATCTTAATGCATTTGTTCAGGACCATGTTACCAGTTTGATTCATGCCTTGGAGAAGATTCTTCCTGCACTCACAAATAAAACAATTAGAGCTTCTTTTGCTGCAAGTTAGAAATTGTGTGCAGTGAGCATTAATTTTGTGACTCTATTCTTCGTCACTTCTTACTAGAACTCTTCTTAAAATGCAGTGTACTTTTTTTTTTGTTACTATTCTCTGCTGTTATTTCATCCTGTCTTGAATTGATGAGCACTTTTTCAAAGCTTCCTCTTCTGACTTGCTATCAGGGAAGTGTAATTTATTCAGAATGAAAGCACATTTTTTTCTCTAGCATGTATTTAAATACAAGTCAAGGTAGTGAAGCCAAGCAAATTCTGCATGGGTATTTTTACAAAGAAGATTTCACGTTTCTGAAAGAAATTGTTTCAGAATATTGTGCTTCAAATTGTAATTTGGTCTTTGTAAACTTTAACTGCTTAGCTTCAATTCATTTCATGAATTTATAGAACTTGAAATACACATTTCAATTAGGTAGCAATATAACACTTTTATATCCTGAGCTTATATTAAGAAAGATGACTAAAAATGACATTAAAATATATCAAAAATAGTATTACTTACATATCTCACACTTGCTTAACTACACCTTGTAAGTATTTCAAATAATTATAAACACAAAATGTTTGCCTTTTAATGGATATTGTGGGAGTGATGACAGGTTACATTTCAATACTCTTTGAAAAACATTACTTAGATTGTAAAAGGAATCTTACTTATGTCTGCAGCTATTTAGTGATTTAAACTACTACTTTTTTATCTCCCCCTCTTCCCTTTCTTTTTTCTAAACAAAAATTTTTCCTTTTGCTGGAAAATGCCAATAAGCTTGCCTTTTGCTGGGCCTGTCAAGTAGTCCATGAACTCCCAGGGTCTGCAGCTTACAGGATGAAAACCACTGTTCATAATTTCAAAGCAACGTATAGCCTAATGGATAGAGTTACCACACCAGCAGTTGGGAAATGTGGTGCATGGATGTTTCCCGCAGCCAAGAAGTTTCTTAATTTCCATATATCTCTGTTACAGGAGAATTGGAGAGCATCAGCAAAACAGTCTTTTTAGATCTTGTAGAGGTCTTTCTTTTTACTTTTGTTCCTATATACAATAAATACATAGGCATATGTTGGGTACTTCCTATCTGTGTGTTTAGTTTTTCTATTACTGTTACTTCAGTTTCACTTCAGCCTGGTTTTGTTGTTTGTTTTGTATTTTTTTTTTTGTTTGGTTTGGTTTTTTTCTTCGTTTCCTCCCAGGACATGGACGCTCTGTGGCACTCCTGAGTACCTTGCACCAGAAGTTATACAAAGCAAAGGCCATGGAAGAGCTGTGGATTGGTGGGCCCTGGGAATTCTTATATTTGAGATGTTGTCAGGGTAAGTGATAATGATTACTATATGACAGCAATATTATATACATAAAATTATATATACACACAGGATTCTTTACTAGTTCTGTTTACGATATTTGGAATAGCAAATTTGGGCTAAATTTATTTTATATATATAAAATATATAATATAATTTTATATATAATATATATTATGTTATTATTTATTATTGATATATAATAATATCAAAAAAATAACCGGTTTAATTTCTGCCTCTGAAGAAAGGAATTGGGAAGCTGTACAAAAGAACATACTTCGCTGTTGTTACTGGGGTTTTTTTAGTTTTTTGAGTTTGTTGGTTTTGTTTGGTGGTGTGTTTTTGTTTTGTTGGTGGTTTTTTGGTTTTGATTTTTTTTTTACTTACGACTTTTTTTAACAGCTGCTCTTTTCCTTATCTGTTTTGGAAATTCAGGTTTTGTTGAAGCTTAATTTTTATACATAAAATCCTTTATATTTAAAGGGTGAAGAAGAGGAGTACCAGTTTTCTTTGAAACTTCTGTAATTTCTAGCACAGTGAAGCAATATTTGCAGTGGGAGCTTTAGTCTGTAAAAATGCATAGTGGCAAGCAGGAAGACTTTTGTTAGTACAGCTTGTATTACTACTAAGCACTGGTTTTCTTTCAACCAAAGAGAAGAGAACAGGGAAAAGCTTAAAAGGTCTATTTGGAAATGAGTTTGCTCAAACACTACGTTTGGTGTTTTGGAATTTGCTTGATAAGCAGTGTTTCCAAAAGATACAAATTCAAACTGAAGAGAGACTTTCTGGCATTAATGTAATTAACTGTCTTAATTTGCTCTGATTTCAAAAAAGAAATACTATTTTCAGTAAAATAAATAACCGGTTTAGGGAGAACATGAAATTCTGCTTCTGTACTGAACAAGGCATCAGTATGTTTTTCCTTATTTTTTGTCTTGGCTATATCTTTTGAAGATACTTTAAAAGAGTGGGAATTTTGAAAAAAAATTGGTTTTGCCATGGTTAGTGCAGTAGAACAAATGCAGGTGAAAGCGAGGCTTTCATAGCTTTGGAAGAAACATGGTGTATTTCACCTGTTTTGGTTTCATAGTCATTGGAACTTCTTTTCGGTACCAGGCCCAGCGTGCTCTGTGCTTTCTCGCTCCCTGAGTGTGCATCGGGTTGCCTCTATGGCCTTTCATTCTGGATCTGCAGCCTCATAGAGTGAAGTTGGAACAGCAACATCCTTGCATGAATTTATTCTTCCTTTTCTCTATGCAGTACTGTCAGCTCGGAGTAACTCTGGTGACTCTTCTGGTGTTTGGACAAGCTCGTCAGGTTGCTTGAGCAGATGGTTCCCCTGGTGAACTCACTTCAGAGCTCCAATCCATCGCATGTGTTTGCTGTGAAGAAGTCCACTCAATAGCATCAAAACTTTATCTCAGGACAGCATTGCTGCCCACTGCTTGGTACCTTAATGTCCTGAAGGCTTGCATATGCATTTACTTTGAATCTCAAGGCAATTTCTGGACAGAAAAAGCATAAAAATGCACTAATAGTTCCCTACTGACCTAGGCAGGCTTGGCTGACTGGTCTAATAAAAAGTTGTTATTTATGTAGGCTGATCTGTGCAGAGGCCAGGCTTCACCTTTCTTCTGCCACTCCCTGTAAGGGTGAGCAGCCCAAATTGGTCAAGGGAATCTTCAGAGAGATTGTCCAAACACCAGAAGAGTCACCCACAACCAAGTTTGTTGGTTGGTCTGGGGTTTGTTTTGTTTTGTTTTGTTTTTTGGAGGTTTTGGGTGGGGTGGTTTTTTGGGGGGGTGGGTAGATTGATAGTACTTGATTAGGATTTTTAAGATTTTGGGGGTGAGGGGGGCAGGGCTTGTGGCTTGTGTGTGCTTTCTTTAGGAGGGCAAGTTGTCACATAGGACGTATGCTTTTAGCATTTTATCAGCTTTTCACTGTTGTTGGCAGTAGTGTTCTAAAACGCTTTTCCTCACCAACTCAACATGTGGCTTGATATTAACTATCAAAGCTATTAATACAAAAACAGTCCTAGGTAACTTTATCCCTTGAAATTCAAAGAAGATTTAAGAAATACGAAAATTATTTGAAGGTGAACAAAACCTGACTTCAAGACTAAGTTATTGTCTGCAAGTAAATTACTTAGACATTTGGTAGTTATTTCCTGAACTTACTCTCTCTGAATCCCAAAAGCAATTGAAAAGAATTGGGAGGTGTGTGTGTAAGGAAATGGTCTCTCTGAAAACAAACAAAACCACACTTTCCTGTTCTGCAGTGTCTTATTTCTCTAACTTAAACTCTAGAGGCCCATGCAATTCTAGTTCTGCACGTACTAGATTTAAGGCAAGGTCCCATTTAGGTTTAAGATAGTAAAATATAGGAAGGGGAAAGAACAGGGAGAGCCAGGGGTGAGAAGTCGTCTTTATGGAACAGATTAGTAATACTGAGTTCATCGAGTTAATCTAAACAAGCTAAACAAACTGTCAATAGAAAGAGTTGAAAGATCTATTTATTTTGAGTAAACATGTTCTGTTACAATCTACCACAGAGGAAAATATACTTGTTATTTAATGTTAGATATGTTAGGTCATAATTGTCCTGTCATCAGACGTGTAGCTAACTGAATTTTCTCATTTAGTGTGGGCTTTGCGTTCTCCGTTTCTGCTTTGGTGGTCATACATGATGTGCTGGTCTATCATTTTAAGTAGCTAATGGTTCCTGTCTACAGTTTAATATTCTCAGGCCTGTGTGTTTTCCCTTGAGGTTTTACAGCTTCTCTTCTTCAGTGCTAAAACTATCTGTTATCTTTGAGACCAATGTCAGTGCCATTGTTATGCATCCGTTAGCAAAAGGAATGGTTTGCAGCTGTTGTCCCATATACAGAGATTTTATTTTTTTTTTAAGCTTCTCTTCAGTTGGTGGAAAAAAGGCAGCTGTTTATATTTGTGTTATGGTGTGGAGGCAGTCTGAAACTCGGCAGGGGGGGGTGTGATTTATTAGGTAGCTTCCAGCACAATACTTGCGTTGTTTGGTCTAAAATCTGTGCTGTGCTGCAGCTTGACATTTGCAAGTAGTATCAAAGTCAAGTTATTCGGTTTGTCCGTAAGAAAACTGTGATCTTTCAAAGCTATTCTCATTTTGCATACAGTTCAAATGCACTTTAAGCAGTATCACCATTAAATTATTATATAGCCAAGTGTGATTTAAATTTCTCTCAAGAATTCTAGACATAGTAATTTTGGATTTTCAAAGTGGGAAAGCAAAGAGCAATTTAAACATATGTAAATACGTAAAAAACATATAGTTATTATTCTTCTTGATTTCACACCTCAGTAGTGTACAGAATGTTTGGAGATGGAGGACAAAAACCCTGCATTTCGTATCAATCTGCTTACTGCAGCTGACACCTTTGTATCACATTGTTACAAAGTCTGATTCTAATTGCTTTATGCATGTATAGATGCTAATATGTAATAACAAATACAAAATTGGAAATTGCGTATACTGTTTGTCAGCTTGCTTTGGAGAATGTGAAGGACATAATGTTGCCTGACTGAAAAAGAAACTTTATATTCTAGTCTCTCTGGTGTGGGAAAATTTTATGCATGTTAAATATCTATCACATTTTCCTTGTTCTTTAGTGTCAAAGCAGGAATTTATAAAAGTAAAAACATTTTTTTCCTGAGATTCTTATTTTCCAGTTTGTTTCTAGCTGAGACACTTCAGTTTTTCATAATGAAACTACTCTGGCTTTCTGAACAACACCAACAAATGTTCTTCAGTCTTTCCTTCAACAGATAGTTTTGTCATGCTTTTCTGTGCTTTGAAGTATTAGTTTTTTTACCTTATGCATACAGACAGCTTTATTTAACTATTCTGATGGAATTTGGTTTTGTCTGTGGCTGAATTTTCTAATATTTCAAAGGAAATACTAATCCACTTGACCATCAGCTGAATAATGAAGAAATTAGTACTTCTGAAAACACTTACGTAATGGAAATAATGTATAGTACGTGTTGAAGAATAAGCTAGTTTGAGTAACATAAAATTAAGGAAAGAAAGTGAAATGAAGAAACGTTGTTTTCGCCCTTGTTTGTGCTACCAATGATTTCCCGAGCCACAAGCACTGTATTTGTGTGTGTATGCATGCAGCTAAGTTCTCTCAGAAAGTAGTTACAAAACATTAGGGAGATGTGAAAATACTTTAAACATTGGACTGTAATAGTGGTTGGATGTTATTCATATGGTTGATAGTCAAAATCCCTTTTTTCTATTCTGTAGGGGCTTTGAGACAGAAGCATAGTAAGAGGGATGCTTTGTTCATGTTACGGAAGTCAAAGTGAGACGAAGATTAGTGAATGAGTAGTTAGTTATTCCATTCCCCTAAAAGGTTTCCTGTGGTAACTTCTAAAAAGGTGACTGCCACTCTGAAAACCTATTGGCACTTGGGCTAAGCTGCTTATATCGCCTGTACTGATGCACCCGTACTCTGAGCTTCTTGCAGTAATCAGGGTATGTATTGTACTAGTAAAGAAGGCACAACAGCAAAACACTCTCAGTTCTTACTGACGCTGTAAAACAAGAAGTAGTCTCTCTGTTAGCTCATAACTTAATGAAAAACTTTTTAGGAAATATTAAGTGTACAATTTCACTTGCATCTTGATTTACTGATCATCTTGGGTGAAATAAGTGCTTTATCTGTCCAACACAGAAAGACAGCTTAACTTTGAGAGGATTTCAGGTTCCGAACAGTCTGTCTCTTTCAAACCTTCTCTAACAAAACATATACTTGAATTCAAGAAATACAATAAACAACTGAACTGGACAATCTATTCATATGAGGGTTCTTTGACACTTTTGATAGAAACTAGTGAATAAGGGTATGCCTGCAGTTAAAGGACAAGATCAAAAATGGTAATGCTGTTGTGGAAAGTACACCCTTGGGTTTTATAGATATAGGCAAAGCATTTTTTTACTTTAACACTGAAAATTTGTTTCATAATTGATTATTTTTACTGTATTAATGTAACAAAAATCTCTTGTGATACTTCAATTTTAATTCTATATTCAATGTGTTGCGTACAAAAATGTTTTCTGTTTTGCAATAGCAGTCTTACCTTAAGTTATTCTTCAAGTTGATATTTGATTGATGATGCCCTACCAAAAAGAACTATATAATCAATGATTTCTGAGGGGAATTACTATAACATAATATTGTTTATAAGATTTTTTTAGAAATTCTTTATCTAACCTCTAAAAATTTGCTGTATTAAAATAGGTTTCCTCCATTTTTTGATGACAATCCATTTGGTATATATCAGAAGATTCTTGCTGGCAAAATAGATTTCCCGAGGCATTTGGATTTATATGTAAAGTAAGTCCATGACTCCAAACACCGTCTTTTCTATTCTAAATACCTCCTGATCATTGTTTCTAAAGGATCTTCATAGGAAGACCAGATACCAGATTCTGACTTTCTAAAACACCATGTTGGAAAATATTTTTAGATTATGCTTACTCTTGCAGTCCAAGTAAAATTATGTGTTTGGTAGACTTCAAGCTGGGGATACAGTTGTAAGATAGTATCCTCCTCTCTTACTTTTCCGCATATTTTGGAATATTAAATGCTTTTCCACCTTGTACAAAGCTCATTGGTACCAGGTTGGTGCGTGGAAGGAAGAAAAGAGGAGAAATAGGAGGAGATAATTTGATATGAATAAAAATTAGGAGAGCAGGAAGTGAACACTAAACTGTTCTTTTGTATGCATATGTACCAGTTAAGTCACTGTCAACATAACTACTTGAATGAACTTTCTGATACTTCAGAAGTTCCAGTGTCAAATCAACTTCCACTTCTGATAGCAGGGCCCCAGTTCAATATGCAGTTTTATATATGCATATGTCGGTTTTATTCATAGCATTTTGCAATTGTTACAGGTGTATTGCAGAGGAAATGCTTTTTTCCCTGTTTAAAAATTCCATAATTGAAATAATTGTTAGTAAACATTAGAACAGAGGAAGTGCAATTTTAAACGTGAAGTTTCTCCTCAGAAGCAGACATAATTGAGTGAGCGAGGACAGGAAGTTATTCTTACATTCCCAGGTTAATCATTCCAGGTGATTTGAGGAAGTGACCTTAGAGATGCCACTTGCTTACTGTCACCACTAGGTAAACAGATAAAATGTTGTATGGCAAATCTAATGAAATTTGTCCAACTTTCTCTGAATTTCTATGAATTCTCTTGCAGAAAAAATCATTTGGGGAGAATTTTTTAAGCCTCTATTGAATCATCAGGTGCACTGAATCAAGCATGTCTACATCACCTTAGGCTGATCAGTGTCTCATATTTGTGTCTGTTCTTAACAGTTTTCCCCTACTATCTCGATGCTGTTTCCAATTTAATGTAGTCTCATTGCCTGGTCTTCCTAACCCAGTCTGTCTTAGAAACAAAACTGAGTTTCTCACATGGTATTGTGTGTGCTGAAGTATAAGAGTGTGACCAGAAGATGAACAGCTCAAATTAGGTTATCATCACTAGCTACCTGTCTAACATGGTGAAAGCATTTAAAAGTATAGGTGCTGTTAGCTTC